CAGATTTGCGCCCCATCCACTTCCTGATGATCCTCCAAAACTTCCTTTCGCCGAGCTGCTCCAACCAGCATCTGAAGATCCACCCCATCCACCTGCTGCTTCATTTGGTACCGCATCTTAAAAGAATGTTTGACGGAAACAGCTTCTTAATCATATCGTTGATCATATCGTCGTGGGTAAGAATGGAACATCAACACTTTTATCGCATTGAATTTGAGATTTCACATTGCTTTTCCGATCTCAAAATATCATTCTGTGAGATGTTGGATAGATTCATGAAAGCTTTTTGTTCCATATTGTATAAGGCATTCTGATCGAGCAGAATTGGCGTATCTGTTTGCAGTTCAACAGTATATGTTTTCCCTCTTGGAAGCGATGAATAAATTGCCGACTTCTCTAATTGAACAGGCTGTGTAATGAGTAGTTCCAGAAACTCTATTTTTGCGCAAGTCTTGAGCAAGTAAATGCAAAACTTACAGGTTATCAGGATCCCAGCAATCAGGACGAAAACTGCGACTGATTTGATTTGGGAAACCATATCGACCGGAGCAAATGAGAGGATGTTCGTGAAGTGTATCATGTCGACTTATATACCCATTCGTGTGACACTCAGAGCATTATCATTTTTCGAGGTATCACAAAAATATGCTGCATTCAGTATGACGACGTTCATTATCATGTAACCAATTGAACATTAACCGGCAATTCTATCACAGTGAATGCTCATTCATGCAAACAAACAATTACTCCTGAATAGATGAACGGGATTCCACGACACGATTACATGTTAATGTAGCACAATTCAAGTTTTTCTCATCACTACTATATGTCATGGTGAGGGCTTATATCATTATGATACTATTCTAATCGTGATCTGGTGGTACTGTTGATGTTTGACTGATCCTATCAGCCTTTAAACAATGGAGAAGGAAATTTTGAATGTCAGCAATACCAGTTTGTTAATGCACCAAAACACCCGTTCATGAGTGTGAAATAATGCAGCAAATGTGAGCAATGACAGAGCAGTAGGTTTTAATTTCTGAATCTATTGCTAACACTATGGCAAAAGAAACAGCACCATATTCCCTCCCCAGTGCATCTCAGAAATTGGAACCAAGCAACAATTACTATCTTACTGAATGTGGCATATTTTTTGTGATACCTCGAAAAATGATAATACTCTGAGTGTCAAAGGAATGAGTATATATGTCGACGTGATACACTTCACGAACATCCACTCATTTGCTCCGGTCGATATGGTTTCCCAATCCACTTCAGTCGCAGTCTTCTTCCTGATTGTTGGTATTCTGATAAGCTGTAAGTTTATCGTTGTTAGCATAAGACTTGTACAAAATAGCGTTTCGGAAACTCAACCTTTTGCGACCTGTCCAATTAGGAATGCCGGCAATATAATTTATTTCTCAAAGAGTGAAACGATTAAAGTTAACTTCCAATCATTTAGGCCAATTTTGATTGACCAGAACTTACTGCTACAATGCTGAAGAAACAGCTCCTCTGAATCTACCCAATATCTCGCCAGACAATTTTTTTGATGTAGGAAAAACAATGTAAAAGCTCAAGATCGATGTGTTTCAACAAACAGCGGTAATAAAGTGTTCCACACTTACCCGTGATNAGATGCGGCACCGAGTAATGCAGCAGGTGGATGGGGTGGATCATCAGATGCTGGTTGGAGCAGCTCAGCGAAAGGAAGTTTTGGAGGATCATCAGGAAGTGGCTGGGGCGCAAATCTGCCAAAGCCTAGTTCATCAAACAAGAACGCTGACCAGAAAATGCAAATTACAGGCTGGATTACAGTGCCGCAGTGATGAACTCTACACATTTTTGTGATGTGATTGATTTTGAAGAGTGCGAACAGTACAGGAATAAAATCATGTTTACCTACACGTTAGGCGTTATCACCAGAGCCTATTACGAAAGCACAACTGCTAAAAGAAAACAATAGAGTGTTAATTTCGTAATCTTGTCAATAATATCTAGTATCCAATCTATCAGTGTAACATTTTTTGCGATTTGAGGATTGAAAAGTGATCGGTGGAATGTGGACTGACCAAACCAAGAGGTACATATATCCAACGCAGTCAGTGCATCTTTTTTAACAATGTATCTTCTTCACAAAGTCTTTCTCAAGCCAAATATTGTTTGCGTATTTTATTAGAGTACCGTCAAACTAGTCACTCCAATCCTCTATATAAATCCCAGAAATTCCACTGTCCAATATCGACATCGTTCACCAACACATCATCCTCATCAAGATGAACACAGCGCTTATCATTCTCTCCATATTAGCCAATCTGTTCAGCATCGGTTCAGCTCAGGTATCTGGAACGTCCATTCATTTGAGTCCATATCTATCACTATTCCTGTCAAATATCTCTCACTCTTCATGCCTCTTTACCTCGACCCTTTAGCACATTGGTCTCCTCAAAAATTGTTAGTTTGAATGGCATGGAAGCAAGGTCTCGAACCTGTTAATGAAGATTCATCTATTATCATAGAAGGCAAATCACCATGCACCTCGCCAAAAAGGATTCCATCATTCAAACAATTCATCTTATTATATTTAGATTTATATTGTAGCTCAAGCGCTGTTTAATATGCAGTTTGCTTCAGCAATATCAAATTCAGCAGCAAGATCCATCATGCGTGAATAGATGTACGCTGCAATGCGTTGCGGATCAGATAGGACAATGTCAAAAATATTGTCAACAATCATGGTTTGTTATGAATGTGATTAATGATTTGATCTTACTCTATAGTCAGTTGGTTTATTCGTTCTCACATTTAGATTCGTTTGCACATTTTAATGAACCATTCTCGGTTATGAATTCAATTTATTTACAGTGGTCCTGCAACGAGTCAACAGTCACAATATTATGGAACATCCGCATGGAAGAACGGTCCTGTTTACCTTATGCCCGGAGCAACTACATGGAAGAACGGTCCTCTTTACCTTATGCCCGGAGGAACTTCATATAATCCACGCCTGCAATCTGGTGGGATTACTGGTAGTCTGTCAAGGCGATATCAGATGATTGGACGACTTAATGGAGTAATGAGCGACAATTCCATGAATGCAATTTGTGTTAAAGTTTGCATGCCCTCTTGCAAACCACAATGTATTGCTAACCCACCAGTTTTACCCGAACCTCTTCCAGTTGTTCCCCAGCCAATGCCTGTTCCAGTTGCACCTCAACCTATGCCTATTCCAGTTGCTCCCCAACCAATGCCTATTCCAGTTGCTCCCCAACCAATGCCTGTTCCAGTTCTTCCCCAACCAATTCCTGTTCCAGTTGCTCCCCAACCAATGCCCGCTCCAATTACTCAAAGACCTGTCGTATCACAACCCAGAATCTGCACCGCAGTGTGTATGCCCACATGCAGTCAACAATGCATCAGCAATCAGCTGCAACCTTCATCCGTCGTACCTGAACCTGTTGTTGTTGCTCCTGAACCAGTTCCAGTTGTTCCTCAACCCATGCCTGTTCCCGTTATTCCTCAACCGATGCCACGAATCGTTGTGCCACAACCAAGGATCTGTATTGCCGTTTGCATGCCTACATGCAGTGAGCAGTGCATTATCAGCCAGATAAACCGTCAATCATACATTCATTGAAGCTCAGGCAGTCTACCTGTTCAGATTCCGTTATGGACCGATCGATCACTTGCACACCAATGCCTGTCATCAGACATTTGATGTCAACGCGTTCACATTTTGTTGATTTTTAATTTGTCGACTCAAATGACATTCAGTGCAAACAATTATTTTGTGAACATTTCTTTGAACAGTTTTTACAAACCGAAAGAACCATTATGTGTTTGTTGCAACTGTGTTTTTTTGTATATACAGCAACTACGAATATCACCATAAACAATGGCTGAATAAATTTTTGATATGTCTTTTCTTGTAAAGTAATTCAACTTTGCACTGAACATCGATCTTAGTTGTGTTGCACAATTGGAACATGCTTCCTTGATTCAAAGTGAAATTCAACTTGTGATATTATACCTCATTCAAGGTTGACCTTCATCGAATGCTCTAAAATGTTATGGAAATTCAATCGTACCCGAAGTAATTGGTCGAATTTTTTGGACACTTGTCCCACCTCAATTGCTCGTTTCCATGTTCATTGACAGCAGTTAGGACAGAATTTTATTCATGACACTANTAGCACGAGGAAGAGAGTGGACTAGCGAATCTGTGTTGCCAGTTTATCGCGAATCAGGTGGAGTGATGAGGAGCTCTCTTCGTAGAGTTTATATGCAGTCCTCATAAATGCTTTTTATCCTCCGAGACAGTGAAAAAATGGCATTCTTTTCAGAATCCTTCACCGTTTTGCCATTCACTGTGTGTTTGGCAAATAAAACCGTGAAATCGTCGCAATGACATATTCAATAGCAAATTTCACACCTCGATGAATGTGCCTTTTTATCTCCAAGTTATAATATATGACATTGGCTTATTGAAGATCTAAACTCTTTTGTTAGTGCATTTGAAAGCAACCCTCAAACTTTTTCAATAATGTTGTATCAATTCAAATCGCAATGCAAACCTGTTATCGAAAATTCCTAATCAAAAAATCATCGGTTTTAACCCACAATTGAAAATGCTCAGATATATCTTGCAGGCGATATGAAAAACGCTTGGTGCGATCAAGGTTTCAATGCGAAGATCCTTAGCAAAGCACGCTTAACACTTGCATGAACTGAGTTCATTGATAATGAACAATTTGGAAGATAATCTTTGTAAAGTGCATTGTAATGAGGTGATATGAAACAAAGTGATGGTGTCTAATGTTGCTGCTCTGATCAAATCGCATTCCATTCAATTAAAATCAATAGCAATCACTGTCATCATCATTCTTGTATTACGATCATTGTGTTATTGTATGAGCAATTATGAAACAATATTTATATATACGTATATATAACTTATATATAGACATATATTATATTTATATATCCTTCTATATCCTGTTCACATATCTCTTCTCTTAAAGTTACAATCGATATAAGTATATGTGAATGCATGCACATATCATGGGATGCCCTTCAACTGACAATGAAATTTATGATCGATCAACTATCATCGTTCAAAAGTGTGAGCTGTGATGTTCATATCTCATTAATATTGCAGTTAATGCTGTTTACGACGGGGATTAAGTACTCCGTTAGTAATGCTGATGNAGGATTGAGGTAATGAGCAATTTGAAAAGTAATATTGAAGGATTTTGGTGAGTACAATTAAGAAGGGTAAGATTTTTTAATGAATACTTGTTAACGTCACGTTCAGAAATCTTTCCAACTAATAATTTCAACATCATCAGGAATGGAGTTATTTTCGAGCTATGCACTAAATAGTTTAGTTTCAACATCATAGCAATTCCAGTCATGATGAATGATTTGTCAGTTTACTGAGGGTACGTTAAATGGCTAAAATTATATCTGTTTTCTGATACATTAGTGGGATCGTTTTGTTGATGTAACACTAAAAATTTACAGATTAGCGATGAAATAAAAACAAATTTCCAATCACATGACGTGATGTGGAGCAGCTTGAAACAGGCTTTTTCGATTGCAATGAAACAAATTAGAAGTGAAATCGCTGAATATATCATGTGATTATTACATGATTACCGATGAGCTGTCATTTGTGCAGAATGATTAATCGAGCAGTTGCATTGGTGTGTTTGATGCGCCAACACAAACAACTAACATATTGACCATTGAAACGAATCAACGATCACTCTGTTTTCATTTCATCAAAAAGTCAGTCATTGAAATTCCCTTATTCATTTCTTCGAAGGAACAATCTTTGCAAGAGCCTTAATACGAAACGGAAGCAATTGCAATTCAATTGATGTGGTAATTTTGTGAGTGCGAAAACGTTAGTGGCACTTTAAAGAAGGCACCGTTCAACTTTTATGAGTATCGTCGATAATTACCCGCTAATTGCTACTGTTCATATTGTACGATCAAAGTGTGAATTCTCGCAGTGAACAAATAGTAATAAGTGCTCTTCAAATCCCCAACAGTTCAAATAAGCAGTGCCGCCATCGTCATGGAACTAGTGAGCGATTTGTTGATGGATTCTGAATGGCAGTAAAGCCTTTTCCGATTTATGGCTGGAGAAGTCATGATTTCACCAGGTTTTGTAGCTCGTTAGCTGGGCTGACTCAGAGAGGCAATGACTAGCAAAAAATGCTGAATGCTCATGGAATTTATGCGAGGAGGAGCGACGTTACAGGAATAATAGATGAACAAAAAGCAACGGTAGAATTGAATTGATGGCGTTAGGAGAGCGCTGAACAACAATCGACTCGACTCGACTCGACTCGACTCGCTCTGAGAGTGCTTTCAAAACCGGTCTGTTTCGGTGAGACTTTGTCGCATTCATAAGACCAACTATATGATCGCAACACAGTGTTAGTGATTCGATAGGAAAAGATTTTTTAGGTTGATCGTGATAACTCTCGTATCGTATACCACTGCGTCACTCACACCAGATTGCCGTTATTGTCACCGCTATTATTTACCATCTATTGTGGCGTTCTCTGTTCAATTATTCGTGCTTTACACGGATGGCATATTGATGTGTCGTCGCCCAGTCTCCTTCAGCTTGATATCTGCAATTTTGCTGATCGCTTTTCTGATATCGTCCACCTATGCAACGATTTTCTCGAAATCGCTCAAAACATGTAACGAACAATGCATCGATCGAAATTTGGTTCGTTTGTTTTTTTCTGCTTCTTATCGATCAACAGAATTCAGTCTACAAGCAAGAGATGATTACTGTTTACAAGTTCAATCACATGAAATACTTTTCAACCATGGAATTAACTGATATCATATCAAAGCACACTGAGACGTCTGTACTTATTGGAATACAAGTCACTGTTTGCGTAGTATTATCTTGCATGACTGATATTCCTCTCAAAACAAACGAGACGAATTGCCTTCCTTGATGAACAATCATGTTTAGTCAATGAGCTTGTTGCTCAGGATTTCAGTCATTCATTCGGGTAAATCATTTTGAGCACTGCATATTTATGTATATGAGGTTTTTTGGATATTGGTGATCAACTCTTGATATCATGAAGGGATTTGCGTTAAAAATAGTAAATCCGATTCTACGTTAATACTACATTCACTGTTGTTTCGAATGAGTGCAGCATTTCGAGAAGAATCGAAAATTACATTGAAATTTACAATAGTATTTTCACATGATGGGAACGATTTGAACGCGATACATTGGATTGATTGCGTTGATGATTCATTGATCATTTGGTGTAAGAGTATAACAGAGCAAGGTCATCGCATTAGTTTCACATTCACTATTAGATATGAGAAGAATGACTGTGAGTGAAAATGTTCAACAGGGCAAAGAGATGACAAACTTAGTCGTATTGGATCAAACAGACGTTGTATCCCAACGGCGCCTTGGAAAGACACATGATATGTACTTTATGGGCACATTTCGACATTTTTTCCGCACTTTTAAGTACAACCAAACACATAGTATTTGTATTTATTTGATTAACAATCACCACTCACGAATTTATGCTTCCCTGTCATCATTGGCCTCACATACTTGATTCCTTGACATATTCGATTTTGCACACCTGACGACATTAGCGCAGAGAATCCTAGATGAAATTATAATTTCGATTATTGTTCTGACGGCAATAGGGTACAGGGTTGCTCTCCCATATTGCTCGATGTTACCAGGAAAATGAGGTGAGAGTGAGCCGGTAAATAGTCTCTTATGGATCGACTGAACATGCATGTAATGACCGCGCGGAGTGGCCATTGGGAGCAAACACCTGGTAGCAGTAAGCCATCAGTCTTTCCGGATCAGTAATAAACGATGATTTCAATCAGTTTATGCATGCTTATCTGCTTATTAAAGATCCCGCTGCCAAGCAGTTATGAATGCTTGTCACCATAAATTCTTCGCATAATCACATACAAACACGTAGTGATCCAGTAAATAATCGTAACCACAGCAAAAGTTTGCCAATCTCCTATAGTGATCGGCAAATAAACCGTTTAGTATTTGATTAAAAAGTGATTGATAGCATACAGCAGTTAACACATTGATAAGTAACCACACAGCATAGACCTTGAGAACATCATATAAATGAATGATTTCTGAAGGGAAGAGTGTCTTTTGAACCAATCCAATCGTCTAGTGAAGGAATATAGTTTCACATTAGTGCATCATGAATTCTGATCATACCCGAAGAAAGAGGAACAATGCTAATCCGGTTACGCAACGTTTGATAGTTCATGAAACATTCTCAGACAGCATTCAATTGCAGGTCGTACCTCTGAATCGTGGATCACTCGATTGGGATGAACCTTTTATAGCTGCAAATTTATCGTCTCGTATCAATGCGGTAATTTTCACTCTTCTTGCATGAGCACAAGTTTATTATGTTCTTCCATCGTCTCGATTACTTGGCTGCATGTAGATGATCTGAAAACATATTCTCAATCGATTCCATTCATAGCAAATTGACTTTGAATCGATTTTCACATAAGCATCCAGTTGTTTAGACGGAATCCTTGTTGAGTTTTGACGCTTCACTGCAATAAACTGCCGCTCCTTAAAGCCAAATTATCATGAATGGTTACTTGAAAAATAGGACTGAACATTTTATTGAGTCGCTTGTTGATGATATACTCGCAAGATGTTAACATTTTTGAGTGTCGTATTGGATGTCAAGATCTTGAATCAGTGAATTCCACATGTGCTGCGCGATGCAATTCGTTGATTGCTCCAGATAGCTGTCAGCAAGGTTGTCGTGCAATCGCCGACATTCTCCTACATCATATACAAGGTCGGTGAGGTCGGTTCTCAAAATTTCATCCTTATGATCGATACCTTTATGCTGATGAATGCGAGCCTTTGCAAATTAATTACTTTAAAATACTCACTTCCGTGTTTGTTATTAATTCGTCATGTTTTTTGCCGTTATATTTTAAATGATTCATTGAAATATCACATTCACATACATGAAAAATATCCCTTAATCCAAACAATGAAATATGAACTGGTATTTTTGTATGTTCGTCATGTCTTTGCATAAATATGTTTTCGTTCAATGGTTTGGGTGGATAAATACGGCTCCTCTAATATTCAGCAACGCTAATGAAT